TTTTTTTTTTTTTTTTTTTTTTTTTTTTTTTTTTTTTTTTTTTTTTTTTTTTTTTTTTTTTTTTTTGTTAGTGGGTATATAGTAGGCCGCTTACACATGCAGGGCGCTCACTGAAAGTAAAGTTTGGTCAATGGTCATGCGCAGTTATCGATTACAGGCTGTCAGTGATTCTTGAAATCATGATTTAAACGTATGTAAAATAATCGATTCTTAGCGAGGCAACAGGCTGATCGATTAAATTAATAAACAAAGTGAGAGGGAAAATGCTATATACATATATCGCAGATGCGTTTCTTTCTTCCGTTTTTTCAAAACGCCTTCAAATAATGATGATACTCCGCTACACACCGGAGCTCAAATAGTCGTATCACAACAACTTGCTTGTGCAAGTAATTGTGCGTTGCACTCTTTAAAGCACTTATTCTTTTATGTAGAAGCACTTTGATTTCAATGAAGAATAGACAGGATCTACGAGAAATTTCTAAAGCCAGAGTAAACTTACCAGTAACCAAAATCTCTTGTAACGCAGCAAGGATGATCTTATGTAATTTTCCATTTTTATAAAGATTTTATTCAAAAGAGATTTTTATAGAATACTCATAAATGTGCACAATTTATGGAGTGCGCATATTGGATTGAGTCGACCCGCTAGGAGCTAAAGTTTTTGGTAGACGAAGGTCTGCAGGCTGATAATTGAACTTGATAGACAAAGCTATAGACAAAGGAGACGAAGAAAAAATGAAGCTATCCAAATGGTTGAAACTGATGGTTGTTGTAGACTGAGGGGAAAAACTATGGACTAATTATGACGTCTGTCGTGAGTCACCATTAGTTGGTCTATTACTTACTTCCTTTGTCCATTTCAACCTGCCACCTCCACTAACAGAATCGCACCATTTTTCCTGTGAACAGTTTGTCTATAGCTGTGTCTATCAGTTTTAAGACATTTTGCCAATTTACAAGAATCGTCACCGATCAAACGAACGGAAAAGTTTGATGTCATGTAATCAAGCAAAGTAAGATATTATTTTCCTTAAATAAAATTGTCCGTCCATCCAATGAAACTTCTCGGTCTCTCTATGATTCCTTTCCCAACATATTGATAGTTAAAGTGCGAAACCACATATCTCCATTGCGGTACTTTAAAATTTCCGTTCTTATTTTATTTTTGCAAAGAGAAATAAGCCAACTTTACAAATTGAAATTCACAAAGAATAGTCTGCTAATGAAGATGATAAATCATAGGAATTTTCAAGAAATTACATTGCCAAGTTTTCCAATGAAATAATTAAGTATGACTAGAAATGCAAAAGAAGATACGAGGTCTCATACTTTAGCCATTAATTTATCCTTTCAAAATTAGAGTGACAAACAATGACGTGAGTAGGTACCTATTTGTGTTAAAGTTCCATTTTGATGAACGCGGTTTATGCTGTTTGAAAGTATCATCTACAGAGTCTGAGAAGGACAGAGAACTTGGAACTGCAATCTCGGCTCAAAGCTCCTTCGTTTCCGCATGATACTTTGCTTTTGCCCCGGTTTGTGTAATTACCTATCTGATGCGGCTCTAACCGAGGAAACAGAAATAAAAAGCGCGCTTAATGCACAGTGGTCTTGAAGCAAAAAGAAAAAATGCCACAAAAATGTACCCAAAAACAGTTTGCAGAGGGTCAGTCTATAGTTCGTGTGGACTTAAAATCGTGTAAAATCAGAAATCTTGGCTGATATTAATTTCGAGAAATCGCGATTTGGAATTTTGATAGTGAATGCAAATTTTCTACTGATTTTGATCAGCTTTTCTATTTTTCCGTCCTTGGAATCTGTGTTGATCGGTTCACGTTTTTAATCTTTGTTCGATTCATGTCGATCGAATACGTACCCTCTCGTTTCATGCAGACTTTCTATCGTACTCTTTTTTTAACTGAACAATTCGCCTTATGCTGCGTCTGCAGCAATTGTTGTTGCAAATACGTTGTGCGTGCTGATTTTAGCTCATAACATACTTGACTTTCTGAAGGCGTTTTAAGTGCGAAAGTAATTCGCCTTGAGTTGCGTCTGCAGCAATTGTTGTTACGAGTACGTTGTGCGTGCTGATTACATACTCGACTCTCTGAAGGCGTTTTATGTGCACAAATAGCGCAATCTGTCTGAGAACGAACGAAGTATGGATTAATGGAATCGCTCAATCTCGCTTCTGTTGTCCACAGGGTGCTCTATTTTTTCACATTAAACGCCTTCAAAGAGTCAAGTATGTAAAAAAAGAGTATAATAGAAAGTCTGCATACAACGAGAGGGTATGTATTCGATCGACATGAATCGAACGAAGAATAAAAACGTGAACCGATCACCACCGGTTCAATGTACAAATAAATAAAAAAGCTGATCAAAATCCGTAAAAAACCTGCATTTACGATGAAAATTTCAATTTGCGGTATCTCGGAATTAGGATCAGCCAAGATTTTGATGTTTTGCAACATTAAGTCCACACGTACCATAGACTCACCCCCCTGCTAACCGTTCGAGGGTACATTTTTGCCGCGTTTTTTTTTTTTTTTTTTTGCTTCAAGACCAGTGTGAATATGCGCGCCACAAAAGTCGTTTCTGCGCAGTCTCATCACAGTGGATACATTTTATTTATTTTCCTCATTGTCATCATTCTGTCGTGCTGAGGAAATACCCCTTATGAACCTCCAAGTGTTGCCAATTTTTTTCTTTTATGAGACATGAATATCCTAGTAAAATTAAGAATATTTTTCCTCCATTTGTTCAATAAATTTTGCTCGCAATTTCACCTAAAGTTCCAAAAATTTCAAGGAAAAATATTCACAACCAACCGTAAAAATAAACTTTTTATAAAAGAAATTTGACAACTCTCGAATGTTCATAACGCGTTTTTACTCAGCACGGCAGTATTGATGGCCCTTGGGGTAAAGTTTCGTCTTGATCTATTTTTACACCGGCTGTATTTGGTAAAATCGTCCATATATAGAAGAGATTATGATATCATTGCGTTGATTTAAACGGGTAAAATAAACATGGTCCATTAAATACCTTGCATGAATTTTGGCAGCTGTGTCAACAACGTGTAAAAGCCCCAGTTTTCACAGAAATGGGCACAAACAATCGCCCACACGGGCATAGAGGTGAATAGGGATTTCCACGGTATTGATACCTAAAATCCAACGGTCTGATCACTCTATGCTTTAAATGACCATCAAGCATTGTCAGTCTTGGGTGTGAGTAACAATAGAACGCTCTGAGCTTTACAGATATCTAGAGAGTCAAGTCTGCCAAAAGTGGGACAGAGTTAGAAAAGCTAATTGTTTCGTGCTTTTTGCCTGAAGCGTCGAAGCAATATCAAGTAAAGCAGTCCATTCTGGAGGGAAAAAACACACAGGCGGACCCAGACACCTCAAACGGAGGGGGGGCGTAGGGGGGTTCGAGGGCCTCCCCCAGAAAATTGTTAAATTTTTGAAAAATCTGCTATGCATTTTGAGTCAATTTCGTCTCGAATAATTGCAAAATGCAAGCGCTTTTATACTTGTTCCCTCCGTTCCTTCCTTTTTTCTTACTTTCCTCTCTCTTCCTCCTTTTTATAGGGGGGTGGGGGGTGCGGCACGGCTCCCTCCCCCCGGATCCGCCTGTGAAAAAAAATATATTAAATAATTAATACCTAAACCAGTGCCTTGGTATGAATATTTAAATGGGCTCGGGTTGAGACTGAGGCAGTCCCTGGACTTTCTGGACTAGAATCAGGAAATAACTTAATCAGCCAAAGCACATAATAAAATGAAAACTTAATCTAAAGAAAGGGTGCGCAACAAAACAAGAGGTAAATAAGAAAAAAATCTCGAGACGCCCCAAAATAAATGCGACACTTTCATTTTCAACCGGACCAAAAAATGAATCGTCGATTCGCTGTTATTGCGAGACCGAGACTCTTTTTGTTCTTTTATTTGTCTTTTGTTGTGTTGTGCAGCTTTCCCCGAGTTAAATTGTTAATTTTTCAAGGACTAGCTTATTTGGAACAGTATTTCAGGGGGAAAATGATCGAGAAGCCAACAAATATTTTGTGAAACTAAAAAACCAATTCTTTGGACCACCGGTCCAACTCCTAATTGGACTGCATTCTGCAATAAGGAACGACAAGTTCAGACTCATTTTAGAAACAACGTATGTACCATTAAGTTCCCTATGCATTTAAGTGTTTTTACGGATGAGCCATAAATATTAGTTCCCTATTGCAAAATGTAGTCCAATTCGACTGCATTTTGCAATTAGAAACTACAATTTTTGGCTCATCCGTAATATTTTTTATGTGCATAGGTAACTGACTGATTCATACGTTTTTCCTTAAATGAGGTATAATTTTTAGTCCCTATGAAAAATAAATATAATTGTAAAATTCCCATGTTGTCTATAATTTTTTGTTACCTTTTCATCTGAAATGTTGCCTAGAGTGTCTTGAATATACCTCAGCTCCTCATTTGATATGTAAGGATCGTCTTTCGGTCGGTCTTTGACAACCGCGAACCAAATTAGAACCCAGAGCAAGGCAACTACGGCTGTAAAACGTAGTGAAATTTGAAATTGAGAAAATGAGAAAGTATATCGACAAAGTGTTTTTAATCTATAAGATTCAGAACAAACATTATTTGCAAGACGTCCGTTGTGTTCATTCTATTTTATTTTTAGCTTCAGAATAGCTATGACTATGGATAATGATTTGACTAAAATTGGGAATTTCCCAAAATTATCCACCAAATTGTTTAAAAGTTGAGATAGATATTGATCGTAGCCAGCAGTGGCGTGGCGTCCTTTTCGATATATCAATTGATCTGCCATTTAAACTCATGAAAAAGGATTGATGAATAGAGTGTTCGCAGCGAACACCTTATTAGTCAATTGTTTACTAAAGCTTCATATCGGCGGGGAAAATATCGATAATCGATTATTCACGCCTCGCCTCTAGTACCCAGAATGCATTTCGCAAAAGCTGAAAATCCACCTTACATGAAGAAGATAACAGCATGATACTAGCAACACCTGACGACCAGTGGTGAGGCGTGAATAACCGATTATCGATTTTTCCCTATTTGAAGCTATGGTAAAGAATCGATTAATAAGGTGTTCCTTACGAGAATCCTGTTTATCGATCCTTTCTCATAGATTTATATGGCAGATCAATCGATTTATCGCAAAGCTTGCCACGCCAATGAAAATTTACCTTCTCATGGCTTACCTTAAAGGCCCCCTTAAAGGCGCACACTCTGTTTATCCATCCTTTTCCATAGGTTTATAGGGCAAATCGCCATGTAGGGTATAAGCTAAATGGTCATATATCGCAAAGCACGCCTCGCCTCTGCTTATGACGCTAGCCAGGTTTTGAACTTCGGATATCGATAGGTAAAGTGCGAAATCACGTATCTACATTGCGCTGTTTCAAGATTTACGCTCCTATTTCACTTTTTTGAAAAGAAAAAAAAACAGCCGACCATATATCTTAAAATTTTTACAGAATATTCTGCTAGCAGAGGTGAAAGATGAAGGCAGTTTTTCAGAAATTAAGTTGACTATTTTCCCAATGAAAAAATAAAGTATGACAGAGAGTCTGCAATGTCGCGAATGGAGATACGTGGTTTTGCACTTCAGGCATCATTCATTCATATATCATTGGTTATCGTTGGTATTGGTATATCATTTATTCATTCTATTCATTTACCTTTGGGCTAAAATGGGACAATATCATAATGGGAGCTAAAATGCCCAATCTGACATGCTGGGTAGAACGCCGTATGAGTCATCAGACGTTGCCAAATATCCTTCGAAAACAGCGAATTTTGAGGAGAATTTATGAATGTTTCTCTTCCAATTTTTCAGAGGATTTCGTTCGAAATTTGATTTGATTGAAAAATTTTAAAATTTCAAAGAAAAATCTTTATAACTTTCTCCAAAAATTAATATTTTTCGAGAGGAAATTTGGCAACATCCGAATGTTTATGCGGCGTTTTTACCTTGCATGCCAATATTTCTCCATGATTTTGGTTTATTTTTTGAGAAAATGGTCGGATACTTTGCTTATTATGTGACCTAGGACGTGTGGCATCCCTTCAAAAATATCACCTGGGACATAGAAATTGGATGCCCATCCGAATTGATCGGCTAAAAGACCGCAAGCAGGATACGCAATGACCGTTCCAACGTAGCTCCCGGAAAACGCGATGGATGCCATATGGGTTCTCTCCATTGGTGGTGCCCATTGTGACCAGACTGCGTGCATACTTGGGTACGTCACCCCCTTTGAAGCAAGAAAAAAAGGGTACGTCAATGAGCATGGTCGAATTTTCATAAATGTATTCAAATTTTGAGGAAGAAATAAGTCGATTAATGGCTGAGAGATCATAAAAGTTCGGTCTTTCATGTTTTTGGAGTCGTTCATTTCGAATTTGATGTCAAGTTTCCAACATTTTAATACCCTGACCGATTAAATGTGGGTTTTCTCAAATTATTGAGGAAATCAAAACATCAGACAACTTCATAGGTGGATGAAAATTGTTAAAAGCATCAGTACTTAAATTTGGTGCCTGTATTGTGCTCCCGAATCTTGAATCTCGAATCAAAATTGGACTTAATTCCGCCTTTCCCAAGTCTCTGGACAATAGTGCGACACAGCGGCGCGGCGCGGCGGGCGGTCAGCGCGTATTGCGCATTGGCTCCTGCAAACCTAAATGGATACTTCAAGCATTACGCAATGCTTGAAGTATCCCTTTAGGTTTGTAGGCGCTTGAGCGCGTCTCGCGCTGGCAGCACGCGCGGCTGCTAGTATGATGCCGGGACGCCATATGGTGAGCAATTACTCCAACAAGGGAACTGTTAAAATTACATGAAAGGGAAATCTTTCTGAGTATTTTTCAAAGAGAAATTTAGTTACAGTTTTTTCTCCAAACATTTAAGTTCAAGAGAAGTGCGAAAAGTCTTGTAAGAGTTTTTAAACTGTGTTTTTATTCGAATTTTGCCTCTTGTGTATTTTACCTAAGATGATTTTCTCTGAGGTAAACTTTTTTAATTTTTTTCAAAGAAAAATTATCTCAAAACTCACATGTTTTTTCTTTTTAAGTTTTTTTATTATTATTATTTTTTCATCAGTCGTTACTACTAGGTCATGAGTGCTAAATGAAATTTTCAATTAAGGAAGCTACGGTGTATTGATGTTTTAATTTGAAATGTGTTGTGAAATTTATTATTTTATTATCTTAATTTACTACCTATTGCCTATGGCACTATTACTGTAGCAAGTGAAACCAAAAATGGTTTTACAAAAACTGAAAATATGTTAAAAATTCGCAAAGACAAATATCAGAGCCTAACACAGAGCGTAGCGGCATACTGCCGGCACAAAACGCGCACCGACGCCTACAAACATAGAGGAATACTTCAAGCATTGCACAGTGGGTGAAGTATCCATTTAGGTTTGTAGGCGTTCCTATTTTTCTAATGAAATAATTTCATGATAATTTTTCAAGAAAAAAATTCAATGAATAATTTAAGGTGTGAAAATTGTATGATTTATCAACGTAATCAGAGTTATTTTCCCGGGAAAACTAAAGGAAACAAGTATTTATCTTCAAAGGGAAGATGGAGTACCTCGAAAAATCCTTCGATAATCCTCAAGGCAATGAGGAAATTGACACTGAGCCTAGTAAAAGGTGGTGTGATGAGGGTGAGAAGGGCTGTGATAGCCACTCCGACTCCGTAAACACGCGCGCCTCCAATTCGAGCGGCTAGCCATCCGCCGAACAACTGAGTGCAGAAGTAACCGTAGAAAAATGAACTCAGAATCATTCCTTGCAGCTTCGAATCCCAGTCAAATTCTCGCATCTACAAAAAAAAAATAATTAAAATTATCACATACTGCCACTAAAAATGGTCCTCTTCGATTGAACGGCCTAGAAATTTAAGGCAAAATGTACGAAAATTGCCCTTGCGATGTCTTTTTGTTGGAGAAATTCCAAAAGTAATTTTGGCATTTTCAGGGTCTAAGTATGCAATCCTCAAAAAATAACTGAAAATTCGATAAGGAACTTCGGATATCCAGAAATGAACAAATTATTAACTTTATCTAATTTATACGTATGAATGCTCTGAGCAAAATCAAAGAGACTTGCCTCCATTGTAAGCCCTGTGATTCATGTACATTCTTATCGTTTCTTAGGGCCCAAGACTCAGTAAAGATAATTTTTTCTCATTTAAAATCGTCTATAATTATAATTTGAATACATGAGCAAGTGGCCTATTTCTTTTGAGTCGTGGTTGACTAACTCAAGAGACCTGTCGAATGGCTGCCACAAAATGTCACACTCTTCGTACTTAGTCTGACATTTTAGTGAGAGACGTTATTTTAAGTTGATGGTATTACAAGATGACATGTACTTTAAAGCGGCCATTGCCATGTTTTTCTGAGGTTTGAAAGCAAGATTGAGGTTGAAGCTACTCAATAGCAAGAAAAAATGGGATTTTTATTTTTATTTCACAGTTTCAAGTTTTGATAAAAGACAATTATAATTCATGATTTTGAGTAAATAAATGGTGAAGTAGACTCAATATGCAGCCTTTCAAATGTTAACATCGTGACCTCCATTACCATCCATGGTAAAATGTAATATGAATTGTTGCAATATTAATTCGTGAAAATATTCCTCAGGATTAATGAACGATAATTACCACGAACCGTTGTAGAGTGGTTCCATTCTGTGACTCTACTTTCGAAGTGTGTTGTGACGTCATGGCCACAATAGCGACGCTCAGATTCACTCGTAGGGCGTAGATGTTAAAGAATCCGAGAAAAGCTAAAAATGCAACCAGATAGCGTCTCCGTTTCCAAAATTTCCATCTAGGACTTGAACACAATATGACAGAATCGTATCAAATTATCTGGTTTTCAAAACGGTAAATTGGAGAGAAATTTTTTCTCTCCTCAGCAACTAGTTTGCGCTTAAGAGAGGAATGTATTCATTTCTAAGCACGTTTGCGCTTAAGAGAGGAATGTATTCATTTCTAAGCACTAACTTGTTGCTCCGGAGAGAAAATATTTATCTCCATTGCATATTCCATATTTCTCTCCATTTCTCTGCATTTAAACTTTGTTTATGTTTTAGTTTATGCTGGAAAGTTTCTCGAGAATCCACCATGAAATGAACATATAACACAAATCTCCATTGGTATTAATATTATTTAAAGAACTAAAATGTATTTCAACATGTATTACACGGTTGTTTTCAATTCGCCTTCAGTTGCGTCTGCAGCAATTTTTGTTACGAATATGTTGTGCGTGCTGATTTCAGTGCATTACATACTTGACTCTCTGCAGGCGTTTAAATTGCGAAAGTAGCGCACCCTGTTGGAAAATAACAAAAGTAAGATTGAATGATTTGCTCAATTTCTACTTCGTTCGTTCTCAGACAGATCGCGCTACTTACGCACATGAAACGCCTTCAGAGAGTCGAGTATGTAATAAACTGAAATCAGCACGCACAACATATTCGTAACAACAATTGCTGCAGACGCATCAGAAGGCGAATCGATTAGTTAAAATAGAAGAGTATGATAGGTAGTCTGCATGTGACGAGAGGGTATGTACTTAATCGACATGAATCGAACGAAAAATAAAACCGTGGACCGATCAACACCGATTCAATGGACAAATAAATTAAAAAGCGGTGTGCCCAATAGTTTCCTCTCTGAAATAAAAATTAGCACCGGAGATTCTGAGACACCACAACAAAGAGATACCCTTTCTCCCCCCAATATCTCAATCTCGTATCCTCTTGTCCAGTGGTCAATTGAGATGTTGCAAGTGTGAGGAATTGGCGATTTGACTATTGATTCTTATTTAAAAGCTGGTGAGAAACACGACGGTGCCACTGGTTTTCTCTGAAATCATCTCCCAAGCTCAAAAAAAGCTCTCAAAGTGAGGCCAAAATGGAGGGGATATCCCACGCTATCCTGAGAATCCACCTCTACATCAAGACAAACTCTCCATGCAAAGATAGGGAGCAAATTCATTAGCATGGTTGCCGTGTTTAAGTGGCAATAAAATGGCAGCCCTGTCAATGTATATGTGCTCCCTATCTTTGCATGGAGAGTTTGTCTTGATGTAGAGGTGGACTCTCAGGATAGCGTGGGATATCCCCTCCATTTTGGCCTTAACTTAATTGAGAGCGTTATTTTGGGCAACGTCCGACTTGGGTCCCGTGGTCCCGTGTCGGTGATTAGGTAACCGACTTGGGTCCCGGTGGACTTTGCTCCTGATCGAGTTGGGTCCTTATGGACTTTGGTCACTCCTAACGTTAAAGGAAGATATTAGTAAATTCGGCAACCGTGCCTCGTTATGGAATCGCCGAGAAGCAACACAATCGTTTTTCTTTTTAATCTTTTATTTTTCTTTTATAGAAAAAACAACACATTTGTTCCTATTCATTTTTATAAATCAGGGAAACAAGAAACGGTCACGTTTTGTGACCTAGTCAGTACAAATAAAACAATCTAAAAATGACAGTACACTTACGACGGAAGGAACTTTTTAGAAACTAAGCGAACGTATTCAAAACGATTTACTTCTTTGATCAAGTACTTGGTCATAGTTTCATCTATGAATTTTTTCTTCTTTATGGACGGAATTTTTTCTTCTTTGGTTTAACGGGTGGGGAAGTATCATTGCATTTGATATACGTTTCCGTTTGAACTTTCACTAAAGCGTTTGCTAATGTAAAAATATTTGGATGAGAAACGTAAAATAATGAACATAAGTGACTGTGAAAAGGTTCGCAGGCATTTGTGGTTCTACCATCACCTGATAAAAATTGAGCCCACACTTGAGGGGGAAAGCGAGAGTCCTCCGCCACATAATATTCCAGTATGTAATCACAAAATTTCAGAATATCCTGGTTTTCTGGCATACATATCGCTTACATAGTTGCCAAACTAGCAAACTTCCTGATTCAATGCCGATGACGCGGGACTTAATTAGGTTGGAACATAAATGCATTGGGACCCAAGTCGGATCTCCTTAATTAACCGCGGGACCCAAGTCGGATATTTTTTTGGGGAACGGGACCCAAGTCGGAAACTGCGTTATTTTGAGCTTCGGAGTTGATTTCAGGGAAAACCAGTGGAACCATCGTGTTCCTCGCGAACTTTTACATAAGAATCAACAGTCAAATCGCAAATTCCTCACACATGCAAATCTCCATTATTTTACGAACGTCACTTACCTTGGGAGTGGGGGTTTAAGTGGAGCAGTCCGTGGGTTACGCTCCATGGTAACCGAGGAACGGTGATCCTCGGCGGCTGGTGGTAACGCTGCGGTGGCGGTAACGCTGCGGTGGCGATAACGCTGGGCTGGCGGTAACGCTCACGGAACGAGGCACAAACGCACGGCGCACGTGGAGTGGAGATCCCGGGACGTCTGGCTGTTTTGACAGGTGCATCACTGAGCCATTCCTGTAACCGCATCCCAAGCGAAGCGGCAACTCACCCAACAGTCGGAAAAGTAGAGCGTTCCCACTCCACTCGCTGAGATCGACAACTGAAATCGTTTCGATCATACCCCAGTAGTCGACACAATAGAAAAAAGATTCGAGCTTGCCCTAATAATGCCGTGCTAAGGAAAAGCGCAGTATGAACCTTCAGGCGTTGCCAAATTCCCCTTTGATGGGGGATGGGGGGGATGGATGGGGGGGGGGTTAAATAAGCAAAATGTAACTCTTTTAACAAAGATATCGACGGTGAAACTACCAAACCACGTATCTCGGTTTGCGACGTCGCAGACTTCCTGTCATACTTTATTTTTTAAATGAAAAACTACTTAACGTCCAGTCACGAAAATTTCTGTGATTTTTCCTATTCGTGCGAAGAAAATTCTGTGAAAATTTCAAGGAATGATATTGATTTGGTCGACTTCAAAAAAATAAAATGTGAGCGTAGATTTTTAAACACCGCAAACGAGATACGTGGTTTGGTAGTTTCACCGTCGATATTGTATTTATGTAATTAAAAACAGTTTGAAAATAGTGCCTCAATATTTTGTATTTTTGTACAGACAAGCAAACAAGTCATGAGTTTTAGGAATGATACTTTAATTCACAAAAAAAAATCAAATTGGATTTTTGAAATGAGATCGAGTCAGAATGAAAGAGTAAATCGAATCCAAATGAACAAGAAAATATATCTTATTCTATAATGTGAATTCATAAGAGTATCGCATAACGCATAACACCCAAGGCGCGAAGCGGCAAGGGGGCATGCCCCCTATTTTCAGTTCCTGAAGCAAATATCTCAGTAATAAAATGATTTCTCTTAGTGAATTTCACAACCTCGGAACAAAGTTACGTTTTTTCAGCCGGGTAGCAACGGATAATGCTAAGAAACATAATGAAGCATTGTTTTATGTTGGGAGACACGAATTTCCCCTGGAATCGCATGCGCGTCCATACAAAATTGGAGCATGGATGCAATTAATTCAGTCGGCCTCATTTGTGAGAGCGCTCCGCAGGATCCAGGTCGTTTCCCCTGTTTTGAGTGTTTGGAATGTCATTCCCGGTCCAAAATAATGATACCTAGGAGAAAATTTTAAAACATGCCTTAGGAAATGACGTGTTTTTCTGTTTTTAAAAGCTATAAGCAACTTGAATTAAGTTATAAACTACCTTGAAACATTTCATTGCTTCGATCGATAACGATTCGATTATGGTCTCTTATTTTTCCCTGCTTCATGCTATCAAGTACCATCTCAGCAGAGCGTGACTTGCTCACAATTCTGCCGTGCCAAGCGAGAACGCCGTAAATTCATCAAGATTTTCCCGCGTTTTTTGGAACTTAACACTTCATAAAATAAAAAATGTTTTACCCATGCACCTTAAATTTACAGGTTAAATTCTTGATAGTGTTTGCGAAAGAATTCTGCCAAAACATTGTCCCAAGGCACACAAGTTTTTTTTCTAGTATACATTGTTCCCGAAAAATTTAAAATGGCGTTTACGGCGTTTTTGTGTTGCACGGCAAAATTAGTTTCCAATGGACCATCCTGGATGAAAGGTCAGGAAAGAAGGTGATAGGAAGCAGAGGCGTGGCATGCCTTGCGATATATCGATCGATCTTCCATTTAGGCCAACGAAAAAAAATCGATAAACAGGGTGCTCGCGACGAACACCTCAATAATCGATTCCTTACCGTAGCTTCTGATAAAGAAATATCGATAATCAAAAATTCACTCCTCGCCACAAATAGGAAGGGATGGTAGAAAAACGTCCGCATGCCAAAACTTTTCTACAAGGGATTTGTATAGAGACTAAAAAATCTACGAAATGTACCGCTGAAAGTCACACCATATAAACGAAGCGCGATTCGACGAAAAGACTGTGAATTGAGGTACGCATGATTTTGATCGTTCGAAAGTTTTATTTATTTATGTTACAATTTCTCCGGGCATTTTAATTTTACAATCAATGAACGAAAAAGGGAGGCTAGCCGCCGCACTATGCTGCCGTGCTAAGGAAGAACGCTGTATGAGCATTCGAGGGTTGCCAAATTTCCTTTGGTAAAATGTTTATTTTTGAGGAAAGCTATGAATATTTTTCCTTAAAATTTTCAGGAGCTTCAGGTGAAATTGCGAACAAAATTTTCTGAAAAATTGGAAGAAAAATATTCAAAAGTCTACCAGGGGATTCTTGTTTTATCAAAGGAAATTTGGCAACGCTTGAAGGTTCATACGACGTTTTTCCTTAGCTCGGCATGGTCTCATAGCTTGATTTAAACGGCATTAAATCAGAGTAGACAGAGTAGCTCCGCACATCATATCGGGAATTTTGGGTGCTATTAAGACTTCGGCACAGAATTTGACACCATAATTTGTAACAGTAGTGAGAGCAGAGATTTTAAATCGCACTGAAAAAAAATTCTCGGCGTTTTTACCAAGGTCCGTTGGTACCTTTCCCATCTCACTTTTTTTACCAATTATTGGTAATTTTACCAAGACCAAGCTAAGCTTACCAAGGTAAGTTTACCTAAAAACCGGTATTTTTACTGTTTTTTCAGGTAAGAATACCACTTTTATTGGTAATCAATTCTCGGTAACTAGGCCATTTTATCTCGGTAATTCTACCACAGTCGATAAAAAATATTGGCGTTTTAACCAAGGTCCAGTAAATTTACCGAGAAAGTTCAATAATTTTACCGAGATTTCTCGGTAAAATTACCAATTCCATAAATGGTAATTTTACCAAGAAAAAACTGCGATCAAACAGAACTCTGAATTCTTGGTAATTTTACCCTTTTCTTAGTAAATACACAAAGATTTTTTTTCTCAGTGCGGCGACCGAAATACACATTTTCGGAGTCTGATTGTCGTTGTATCAACGTCACCATTTCATTGACGCTACCGTCCAGCGGTGGCGATGACTTCCTTGGCGGCCAGTCTTCCGGGGGCTCCAGTGACACCTCCCCCCGGATGAGCGCCCGATCCGCAGATGAGGAGCTTGGATATTGGAGTGTACGGAGACGCTGGTCCAGAGCTCACGGGTCTGCACAGCAGAAGCTGGTCCAGAGTCAAGGCGCCGTGGAAGATATTCTAAGCAAAATCAAACATTAAACATTAAGTGCCGTATTCCTAGGCCTTCTTTAAACATCATATTTTCTCACAGAGGCTCGACGTGTGACTGGATCAGTTGAACGGGACCTTAAAAATCCTGATTTGAGGTATTGGCACCTCCTTAAAAAGTATGGAAATCTGGACATTTTGGTGCAAGTTTGATCCGTTGAGAACTCGACATCGTCAAGCTTGACATTTTTTTCTAAATTGGACGTATGCTAAAAGGAACTAAGTGGAAGTGGAAAGATAGGGTGTGCTCGACGTGGAAGCTGGATAAGAAACAATGTAAAAGTGGATGTAGTTCCTTTTGAGAAAATAGAATGGTGGGGTTTTCTATTCAATTGAAAGGAGCTAAGCGCTATCTCGTGAGCCGTGAGCATGTGAAAAGAGCCTTGTGGAAAGGGCTTATGAGTTAAAGGGTCCGGCCTGCGACCGTGCCCCAGCCTCGATTGTTGCCGCTGACATCACTGGCGCTTTATATTCCCACTCATTCTTATGGCTCTCAACTAACGAGCACACCCCATCTTGCTACTTGCGCATAGTTCCATTTCGCATAAATCTAATCCAATTAGGCTTCCTTGGAAAGTATCCTCCTGGAAGATAAGGTCTCTTTTCACCGAACCTGTCCCATATGGTTTACATCGTATTAAGATAAGTCTAATGTCACTCTTAACTCATTGTTAGTTCAATATAAAGGATAAGTTTTGATGAACTCTAGAAAAATTCAAGGGTTAACCTTTCGAATTAACTCCTTGCAAGGGATTGAAACAATTTTTCACCAAATAAAATAGAAAATGCATGCAGTTTACAGTTTTGCAAATTTTATGACAAGTAAATTATTGTTTACTTACACCTCCTGTCAGTCCAAAAATGCTTTCCAAATCGGGAGGGGAGAGAACCTCATAGCCAACGATACTTGACTTAAATCCAGGAGCATAATCTTCTATACTGTTGAACACCTGAAAAATAAGAAGATTTTGAAATCTGAAGAGTATTTGTCCCTCGACTGGCGGCGTGGCGTATTCTGTGGTATATCGATTGGTCTACGATTTAATCCTGCGGAAAAGGATCGATAAACAGGGTGTTCGCAACGAATACCTCAATAATCGATTCTTTACCACAGCTTCAAATGGGGAGATATCAATGATCGATCATTCACGCCTCGCCATCGTATCAAACGCGCAGCAATTATTCACTATGGTTCGCCAGCTGAACATCAAAATGGTGAAAAAGCCTCATATTCAGCGGCGTGGCGTGAATGATCGACTATCGATATTTCTCCATTTGAAGCTATGGTAGAGAATCGATTATTACGGTGTTTGTTGCGAACACCCTGTCTATCGATCCTTTTCCATCGGTTTAAATGGCATAACAATCGATCTATCGCAAAGCACGCCACGCCACTGGAGCGGAGCGGCGCAGCGGGCGGCCAGCGTGGAACGCGCTTAGGCGCCTACAAACCTAAGGGGATACTTCACGCATTGCGCAAAGGTTGAAGTATCCCTTTAGGTTTGTAGGCGCCAATGCGCGTGTCGCGCTGCGTGCTGGTCGCCCGCCGTCACTGCTCCGCGGCGTGCCACGGCGCCACTGCCACGCCACTGTCCATATTTTGAGAAAAGATCAGCCCATTATGCCATTTTCAATGCCTTTTATGAAAAGCCGAGAGAATACGTATATTCTGTTTCTAAATTCACTTCTCCGAAGAAAGTGCTGTTTCCTCAAATTTGATCATCGTATTTTTAATGAGAGTATTTTCCCATCCCATCACTTCCTCGGAGTGGAAGTTCCTCACTTTCCTCCTATTTTACTCGGAGTTTGCAAGAAACCGCCTCTTTTCGTAATATTAATATGTAGAGAGAATCTATCATTACAAGTCTGTATTTTGAACTAACTTACAATTTGAGCGTAAGCATTTTTGGTATCTTCGTCCCACACTCGACCGTTCGCCAATGAGTATTTTGTGAATTGAGAAAACACCAAACATACGTGAGCTCCGTCGGGAGAAATAGTTTTATCCAAAGAAGACGGAATGACCAATTCCAGCATGGGCCTAATTGCAGAAAAATAACAAATATTAACCATCAGGGGAAATCTTTATAGATTTCTACATGTTAGCTTCGAGGCATATACAACGTAAAATGGAAGTGTTCATTAAAAAAGGAACTATGAGGCGCACAAATCGCACGCCAAAAGTCCCTTTTGATGTTATTCATTAGCATGTCATTCATACAGTGTTTTTTTTCACAAAAATACTTTCAAATAAATCACGGGTTTGATCAATTGGAGAGAGGTGCTAACAATTTATTGAATTCTATCTAGCCTTGGCTTGTGGCTTTGGCTTGACACACAGTTTGTTGCAGCCAGTCATCGTTTCTGGAATTTTTTCTCGATCAATTATTTAATTGAAATTTCATTTTTTCTTCCTTATTTCTTTTTTTCGGTGTAAGTGAATTTAATGAAAATATATCACCGATGAAAAAGACTAAACCCTCATTTCCATCCGAAGTTTTAGTCTTTTGTATCGGGCTACACAGATCAGATTCGAATAAATGAGCATTTGAAGAGCGACCTATCTGGGAGATGACCGGTGACGCCTTGTTGGTAGGCAACATCAATTTCCTCCATGGAGTCACTGTTGAGATGAATGGTTCCTCGGTGATGCGGCTGCACTTCGTCGCCACCAGAGGGTCCACCCAAGCCTTTGAACTGGGGTATTCGCGACACCGCAACTGAAAATTTTGATGAAAATTGACTGAATAAGAATTTAAAATTCCTTGACATATAAACGTCAGCAATTTGATATCGATGAAAAGCTACGATCCTCCTTCAATATCGTGTGATACCACTTCACATACGACGAAATTCTGCTTTAGTCGAAATCTCCTCGATCCTTTGACTTTTCTATCTAGAGAGCTTTCACTGTACTTTCAGTAATTTCCGTTGAACAAATCGTGTTCTGCATGAAATTTGGACGAGAAAATATGAGAGCAGATAACTGCAATTCGTACCCTGATGTGGTATGTACATTGGAACTTGCAATTTCTACCAGGGATGTGCCAATGATTAATTATGAGGCACAAGTTCTGATATAGTATATGGTAGAAGTTCTGATCGGTGCATTTCTTACTGTTGATTTTGGTGACTGGTGACGTGTAATCGATCCTCTCAAGCTCAGAGACGTAATCGCTGTCCAAGACCTCTTTGTCTGCGATCAAATCAAACGTGACTTTGGGTGTAGCATTCGACAAGACATACGTTGCCTTGACCTCTGTTCCGTCATTGGTTACCACTCCATCGGCGTTTTGATTCCTGTCAATCGTTATTCTCTCGACAGCCTAAAAAACTCAGAAATTTTCGTCAGTTTTCATTTATTTCAGTCATGCTAAGGAGAATTGACCTCACAGTATCGATATTTTGCCATTTGGAGCCACAGTGAAGAATCGATTTTTAAGGTGTTTGTTGCAAACGCCCTGACAATCGATCGTCTTCCTATCTTCCGTGGATTTAAACGACAGATCAATCGATATACCGCAAAGCACGCCACGGCACTGACGTGTAGTGGAAGCAGTGTACTTAACTGGGGTTTAGTCGGATATGCAAATAAACTAACTGAGAGACTAAGCGTAGAGTATCACGGAAAAATGAAGGCGTTACAACATGTGATCGTGATTTTACAACATTTATAATGCCGATGCATATCATTTCAGTTCGTTGAAGCACCATGTAAGTCGCTTGCAAATCGCCGGCCCTCTCTAATTGCCTGCGAGATGTATACTCAAAAAAGTTCAAGTCAAAATTGGACCGCGTTGTGCAGAAAAGAACGAAGTCACATCAGCTACTGTCAAATTTAACTTTGTAATTAATTTTTTATTAATTAATTTATTTCTAGGAGAGATCGGGTCCGTAATGATAGAGTGCGTCAGATAATGGAAGTCGAAAATGACATCGTGTTCGACGTCATGACCAAACAACTTGTTTGGTATGGTCATGTCAATAGGATGACGGAAGAGAGGCTGCCAAAAAAGATGCTTGATTGGGTTCTTCCTGGGAGGAGGCGTAGGGGACGCCCAGTGAGAGGTTGGCGACAGGGGGTGTTAAGTGAGATGAGGGAGTGTCAACTCCCTGATAACCTGTGGGAAGACCGAGCTTTGTGGCGATTAGGTGTCGCAAAGCGCCAAAGAGCGCTATAACAGCGACTCGTATGTATGTAATTAATTTTTTTATTAGAGAATGTTTGTGCAGATTTTTTTGAAAAATTTAGGGAATTTGCTTCGTCTTAAGCAGAAAATTCACTTACATGGAGAATTTGCTCACAAAAATGGTATTGCTTCATCTCAGAGTGCGTAATGAGTTGAGTTCGCAGTATTTTTCATATTTTGTTTTGACATGGGAAATTGGAGAAAAATTGAGTTGAAAGTGGAAAAATGTGCCGCCTCATGGCGTCATCTGGCGGCATTTCCCATTTAAACACATGTATTTTAGCAAATTAGATTATTTCGTCTTATCTTCTCTAATAATTGTTCAATTTAGAAGGCTAGGTCATCCTCGTACTCAGTTTTCCTAGCAGTGTCATTTTAAAGATGAAATTCACAAAATTTCAGACACCTGCAAATTCTCTATTTGCACCGAAAGCCGCACAACAGTTTTCATGTAGGTAAAACATTAAAGTGCCCAATTAAATTTGGTAATAGCGGTTGTAGCTTGGTTTCTTTCTGCTTAACGCGGTCCAATTATAATTAAATTTTGTCAAGAAAATAAATCACGAGAGGAAATTAGGCAACATCTGATGTAGTTAGGCTGATTTTAAATAATGCAGTGCTATGGAAGAACGCCTTATGAACATTCAAAAGTTGCCAAATTTTCCTTGATAAAACATGTATTTTTGACAACATTCATGCATATTTTTCCTTGAAATTTTTAGATATTTTAGATTCAATTGCTAGCAAAAATGTCCGAAAATTTTGGAAAATAATATTCAGAATTTTCCCAGTAAATTCGGCTTTTATCGGAGGAAACTTGGCAACATCTGAAGGCTCATACGGCGTTTTTCCCTAGCACGGCAGTATTTATACCTTGTCGGTGAATAAGTCTGCGCCGTGCGCCTCTGCCGAACGCGCGAGCGCTTGCGAAACGGCACCCATTCCACCCTCTGGATAGGCCCACGCTCCGGGAGTACCGTCCAAATTACCACACACGTGATGCATCAAGACATACCTGTATTGAAAGAAAACATTCGTCAGCATTCGTTAACAAGGTACTTTCAGTAATCTGATTCGATCAGTAATGGACCACTAGACAAGGTACGAATTTCAGCATTCTGATACATGTTTCTAAACCAAAATTTTACGTAGAACACGATACGTTCAACAAAAATTACCGAAATCAATACCTGACGAAGATATTTAATGATTCTTGGTGTGTGTATTGAAACCACCCGCTCATGAAAACTCAATGCTCTACGTGATTCACATCGCTCGCTGAACATTGTCATGAACGTCTCTGCGATAAAAAAATCTGGCAACCTCAATCTTGACGCTTTGGTTAAGCTACAGCAAATTACTTATAGTTTGAAAAACACATGGTGGGAAATGAACATTGTTCGATTGAGAAGCTTGCTGAAACCGTCGTAGTGCGCGATTTGACCCACGTAGAGCTTTGAGTTTCTTGTGAGCGGGCAGTTCAAATTTCTCGTAACCAATGTGAAATAAAAATGTTAATATCTTCATTAGGAGTTGGTTTCAGTAATTTTCGTTGCGCGAATCGTGTTCTACGTGCAATTCTGGCTAAGAAACATATATCACAATGCTCAAATTCGTACCTTGTCTAGTGGTCCATTTTCAACGATTAAAGCACGCACAGTAGTGAACGCGCAATGCGGGAAGTATTCATACGGTCTTGTAAGCGCGAAACGCATTCGCGCTGACCGCGCACTATGTTTGGCGCGATTGAATGAACACGGTGTAGCAAATTGCTTATAGTTTGAACAACACATGGTGGGAAATGAACATTGCTCGATTGAGAAGCTTACTGCAACCTTTGTAGTGCGCGGTTTGACTCACGTAGAGATTTGAGTTTCTTGTGAGCGGGCAGTTCAAATTCCTCGTAACCAATGGGTAATAAAAACGTTCATATCTTCGTTAAAAGTTGGTTTCAGTAATTTTCGTTGTAAGAATCGTGTTTTCCGTAAAGTTCTGGTTAAGAAACATGTATCAGATTGCTTTAATTCGTACCTTGTCTAGTGGTCCACTAGTAATCAGTAATCGGTAATAATTTTTCCTCTTCAAAATTTCACGGAGAGTATGAGTGTGACCGGAGGCATTACATGCCACGGACCGATACGATAAATGTTTACTAATCACACGTTCTCCTTATATTTATATCATTATTATTAATCAAATTTAATTCATGTCAATAGATACCATCTAATTTAATTGTATTTGGTAGTGGTGACAATTTATGTATTTTGAATTATGTCAATAAACAATTCTAAAAAAAAAAAAAAAGAAAAAAAAGCATGAGTTGCGTTGCGCCGAAAGCAGAGGCGGGTCCAAAAATTTGACAAAGTTGGCTTTTCTCCACACAAATCTGTGTCGAATAATCGATTCTTGTCGAAGCACCTGGCTCCTCCAAGAATCGATACATTTCCATGGGTTTAAATAGAGAAAAAACAAGGATGCCAATTTGCTGGATCCGCCAATAGTTGAAAGAGATTATCGACGCGGTGTAAGTCGGCAATCACATAACTCGTTTGGGTGTCTGAAAATCTCCTATGTTATTTGTTAAAGGAGAACAAATTGACATCATTCCTTGGAGTTTGTGCAGAATTTTCTTCGCACAGAGAAGAAAAATCACGGCAGTTTTAAAGAGTTGCCGTTGAGTAGTTTTCGTTTAAAAATAAAATATGACAGGAAGTCTGTGACGTCGCAAACCGAGTTAAGTGCGATTGCCGACTTACACCGTCGTTATGCTTTGTTTTAATAGGTAAGTAATGTAAAGTAAGTATGCATGCATGTAGTAAGTGTTCCTGTATTCAGCAAATGATTTTTTAAAAAAATGGAAATACACGGCCAATTAATTTTACAATTTATGTGTTCTCACGTAATAATTTTGCTAATGATATTTTCGTCTTTTCTGTTTTTGGTAAGTTTTTATTTCATTCTCACTAGATTCCACTCATTTCTACGTATGTGGCTGCTAATATAAGTTTTTCAGTCACTTTTCTGTCACAGTGTCCCAGAATTAATTCATTTCGTGTGAGGAGGGGTTCAGACAAAAATTTATGTGAGTTGCGTCACTTACCCTGTGCCCGGTGTGAACGGGCCAGCCATGGTCCCGATAAGCGCATCCGTGGCCAGACCGGCCTTCAAAGGCTCCGACTCGAACCATTTGTCGAGAACTTTGTTGATAGGTGACGTCATCAACTGCCACAAGGACCTTGCATTCGGACCTAATGTTGACAGAGCCTTTGCTGAAACATAGAAATACTTTAGTCACTTGGAACAAAATTTAATAAAGAACTTTTGAAAGGCCTCGTGGAACTATCTTAAATTTTGACCGTCTAACAGGGGAAAGAACATGAGTGAAAAAACTCGGATTGCGTTGTAAATACCAGAGGAAGAAGGTCAGACGAGTTAGAAAAGTTGGAATAAAGGCAATACCACGAAATAGATTTTTAATGAGAACCCAAGAAATCACGGTGGTAAACGGGTAGCAAGACTCAACTATCTTTGCCATACGCTGTTTCGTCCTCTATTTCAGACACATGGCCACAGACACACAGCCGCAAAAATAAAGGCTAGGTCTCGTTTTTTTGCGACACTGACAGTGCGGATCCCTTTTCGGTAAGATCACTTGATTACTTATTAAAGGGAGCCCCAGTTATCATCTCGCGCTTGGAAGTGCACAGCGCTTTTTCGAGGATTTAGCCCGCACCGCAGTAGGAAATAAAATTATGAAGTAATTTCAAAAATCATATCTACCATAAAAATATTTTGAATTTGCGCGGAAATAATTCTTTTCCAATTGTTAACTAATTTAAGTTCATATTGTCAATGAAAGAACTTGCAATGTATAAAATTGCAAGCTGTTGTTTCTTTTAACTTCTTACCGGCCTCCCTCAGTGGTTTTGACCTCCAAAGTTCGATGATTTTCATAGAAGAAGACTGCTCGAGGAACTTTTGAAGCTGACTGGGAGAGACGTCCATCAGTGGAACCAACCCTTTTGCAAGTACCTGCATCTCCTCTTCGTACTTGGTGAACAACTGTAAAAAAGTACGAGTAACTTAATCTTTTTAGCTAAAATTCGCAACCTGACGAGTGAAATAATATTCCTATGCATTTACTCATGATTCATTCGGTTCATTCAGGAGGAGAACAACGCCATTCCATTGTTATTGAGATGCTAGATGATCCTTTTTTTTTTTTTTTTTTTTTTTTTTTTTTTTTAAGCAATTACTCTCTTATCGCACAAATACCCTAATAGAAAATTAGATCAGTCTACTAAATGTTTACGTTGGCTTGCTTTTTAATCGGTATGGGACAGTCGGAACTGGACACATTTAAATCAAAAGGAACTGTATCAATTGTGATCTGTGCCTCGTCAATTCTGTATTCTTACGAATCTCAGGGCTCATGTCAGAAAAGATATGGTTTCTTTTGATTTAATTGTGTTCAAATAATCTTGTGTTTCTGATTCCACCAGCATCCTTGATTCTGAACCAGCATCGCCCTCTCCCAATTGCATATCGATGGCCAAAACGCGAAGCCGAGTATCTCCATTGCGATGCTTCAAAATTTTCGCTCCAGTTTTATTTTTTCGAAGTGAAATAAGCCAATTTTATAGCTTGAAATTTATTCAAAATATTCTGCTGACAAATAAGAAAGATTGAGTGAGTTTTCAAGAAATTACTTAAACTACTTTCCCAAAGATAAAATAAATCATGACAGTAAGTCTGCAACGTCTCAAACGGAGGTACATAGTTTCCACTTTGGTTATCGATGTGTGGTTCTATATACCTAATTTATCGACGTCCGTATAATGAAAAAAAAATTAAAATCATTCTTGTACCTATTCCGAGGTGTGAAAATATCCGAGCATGTCTATTCTTGCGAACGAAAACAAATCAAATTACTTCCTATATTATCTTGTCGATATTTTTTAATATGAGGAAAACTTACAAAGAAATGTTAAGGAGAACTACTTGCTGATTTTTTTTTAAAAAAAATTACATATGAGCGAAGATTTTCAACGCCCCAATCGAATGTACGCGTTTTTGCGATTTTCTCATTGTGCATGACCCATCCGACTTACTGTTTCCAAAACTATCAGTGTAGATATCCATCAGTCTGAAGACGTTTACTGCATCTGCGAGCATTACTATACATAGATACACATTTAAGTGGCAAAGAGATTTACCTGCGCGTCTCTTTTGGAGAATTTAGAGATTTGCTCGACATTGCTTTGGTGACTGGAGCCGAGCAGAAGGTGACGACCATCCCGCAAAACTGTGAAACTACTCGGATCCCGAAAGTGAAGTTTAAGACCAAATTCCTGAAACAAAAAAATTATTTCATGAACTTGAAATGGCGAATCAGTTATAGAAAAATTTAATTACATTAAAAAACTATGAAAAAAACATAATAAATAAAAATAAAATAATGCTAATAAATAATTAATAATAATATAAAAAAATAAAAAAACTATAAAATGTGAAATAGGTCGGAACAGTTTCGACTTACTTGTCAGAAACGGAATCGGAGAATAATTCAAAATCGTATGTTTCAAAAGAGAGTTTAAAAAGTTTTACCATTTTTTGTTTGTTTTGACCACTATTTTGTCTATATGTTAAGGAGCTTTTATACTTAAGACAGAGATGAACGCGAAAAACACCCGCAGTCCGCCTACATTTTGAACGACTAGGCAACAAACCAACCTTTGAAGATATTTCGTTTCATTCACTCGAGATAAAAGCACACAAAGCTCTATGATATATTCTGACTTTGTATTACAGAAACTGAGCTTGAGTTGCCTTCATTTAGAATGGATAGGCAACTATTTTGACGTTTGGAAGCGGAGCTATTTGAGCCTGCTCGCGCTGAATTAAGGGAAATAAGGTTCCGGGACATGTTGTGGCTTCACATTGGAAAAAAGTGCGCCTTCACTTAGAACAGTATGGCAACTATTTTGACTCTCGAGAGCTATTTCGTCCTACTTGGTCGTCCTACTAGTGCGAAACAGTCTACTCGGCGAACAACGATCCATGATATAATATGTACTAGAGCTTCATGTTACAGGTGCAGAGCGCGGTTCGCCTTCATTCTGAACGATTAGGCAACTATTGTTACTTTCGGGAGCTGTTTTGTCCTAATCCTTCCGAGGCAATCAACGTTCTACGGCACGCTGCAACTTCATGAATAGCGCAGCTTGGGTCCATATTGATATTTTAGGCTGTAGGCAACTGGGTGAGTTCAAATAAGCGTCTAATCTGCAAAAGGCTGTAAGTGAGCAATACTGCAAGGTATTTGTCTTTCTTTAAGGGATGACCGTAATCAGATCATGCGCGTCACAATTTACTGTCGCGTCGTGACAGAAATCGTGCCTCATTACAATAGGAGACCACTATTTCTGGGTCATTTAAGTGGCAACCCTTGGCGATAAAAAGCGAATTCGGTTCTAATTGGACAGACCTCGTAATGAGTAAATATCCGTGTAAGAATGACTGGCAGATGCATGCTGAACACTTTTTCTCTTCAGCCCTACGCTGTTACACACTGGAGTTTGATTGTTTTGACTGAAATAAGATTGTTTCGGAGTTTTGGCCTTGATTTTTCGCAGAATTTATTGTTTGGACCCAGCACTATTCTGTCATCCATACTTGGAATAGCATTTAGCAAAAAGGAACCAGCGCGATTACAGTGCTTTCACAATCGTGTAACTCCTCCATTTCTTCTAAAAATACATGATACATGTACAGTATTAAAATTTACACAATTATTTTTGTATAAAATTAACAATTTTTTGGCGGGAAGCCAAAACTTGTTGCTATTCTCGGAAATTTTTTCGATCATTATGAAGAGGCAACATATTTACAACACTGTAATTGCGCTGGCTCCTTTTTGCTGGGGCTTTTTGCATTTTTACTTTCTTTACACTTATAGTTCAGACCACATTTTTAATGTTTTTTTTTTTTTTGTCTTTTTTCTCTTTCATATAAATACGAGTGTGTATGTGTGCGTTTGGCAATGCCCTGAATCTGGTTTCCAGCGTTAGGTTGGGTGAAGTATACCTTGAGTTGAAGCTCCTGGATGATCTGGGGTCTGAGGAGGCTGAGAACGTAGGAGCATCTGGAGAATCGGAAACCAGGGACGATCTCCTCCGTGACAGCGGCTCCTCCGAGGACAGGGCGCCTCTCCAGGACGCAAACACTCAACCCTGCACGTGAGAGGTACCCCGCGGCTACCAGCCCGTTGTGCCCTGTTCATATCACAAGAGAAATTAGAATTAGATACAGAGTGGAAATTCAACACCTGCGGGCTCATTATTGAAATTTATAGACTGAGCTATAGACAAAGGAGACATAGGGAGTATACGGAGCGATGTTACTGCGGTTGAAATGGTTGGTTTCTGTAGACTAACGGAGAAAATGACGGACTATCAGGGTTTCTCGTGGATTGCCTCTTCAATTAGTCTATTACCTATCTCCTTTGTCCATTGCAACCACCCGCTTTCACCGATAGGATCGTTCTATTTTCCCTTTGCCTTCTTTGCCTTCTTTGTCCATAACTTTTTCTGTCAGTTTCAATAATTAGCCTACTGGCAAGCGGCATAAGTAGTTGCTCAGATTTTACTTAGTGATTCTTACTGTTAGGAGACCTAGATTAACGGTTTATTTGAGGAAGGGTGTAAGCGCCCAAAGTCAAATTGTGTGAAAACGTGAAAAAACTTCGTATCCTCGACCGTTCTTCATAATTTTATTTGAAATAGTTCGTGAATGTTCTACATGCTTACCATTTGGAACTACGGTGGAACTACTCCGGTGACACGAGAAGGAACAGAGAAATTTGATAAGAGATTTTTTTTTTTTTTTTTTTTTTTTTAAACAAAAAAAATTGGCGCATGGAAATAGACCAAGGGAAAGCGAGTTAATGACGGCGCAGAGATACAACTATTCATGCTTGATGGATGTCCATGTTGCATCTGTAAAACTGAGGGCGCGATGGCGCGAGGCGTGAACTTGCACTCAACGCTGCCAATGAGAAAGTGTCGCTCGCATTCGGTAGACAAGTTGGAAAACGAGGCCCGATTACGAATCTCCTATCTTCGGTTGTCTTAAAGCTCTTTTTCAATTTGATGTCCAATTCTTTTAGGGTATATCGACGACGTAAGACCGCATTCACATATCTCGTTTGCGGTGTTTGAAAATCTCCGCCTCTATGCAATACTTTTAAAGGAGAACGAAAGGACATCAATCCTTGGAGTTTATGCCGAATTTCCTTCGCACAGAGAAGAAAAATCACGACAGTTTTAAAGAAATGCCGTTGAGTACTTTTCCGTTTAAAAAATAAAGTATGACAGGAAGTCTGCGATGTCGCAAACCGACTTATGTGATTATGCCCAAGTAAGCACAGCAGGGGAGAATTTCATGAGCGCCGCCGCCCGCGGCGCACTATGGTCCAAAACTGAAGAAAAGGAAGAAATAAGTCGGATAATGACTGAAAGATCACGTAAATTTCGTTACTGATGTTTTTCGAGTCGCTAATTTCGAATTTGATGTCATACTGCCTACATTTTAACACCCTGACCTAGAGTCCCTTTATACTGAGAGTCAAGACAATTTGAATCCATTTCTGATTGGTTCCCGTATTTTAGGCCTTCTCAGTGTCACAAACGGGAATAAAGATTACATTTTCACCAATTGCAAAGATTATAATCTGGAATGGACCGAGGAATTTCGGGTTCGACAAGGAACAAACGGAATGAAAGAAGGAACGGAGAAAGGAATTTGAGAATGGGCCGATCAAAGATTACGAAAAACGTTCAATTTCTGTAATCTTTATTCCCGTTTGTGACATCCATGAGCTGAATTGTCTTGACTCTCAGTATAAAGGGACTCTACCCTGACCTATTAATTGTGGGCAAGTTTATGGCACGCTGCGGCGCGGTGTGCTTGCCAGCTCGACGCACTGACGCCTACAAACCTAAGGGGATACTTCAAGCATTGCGCAATGCGTGAAGTATCCACTTAGGTTTGTAGGCGTCAGTGCGCGTTCCGCGCTGGCAGCACGCCGCGGCTCTAACGGCGGGAGGGTGGTGAACGATGTCTATGGGGAGAGCTCCCTGGCGGAGAAACTCGTGTATTGTGTAAATTTTTTTTTTAATTTTCGACTTTTAAAATTACACACTGGTCGTGTGAAGTAATTAGTGAACTCTCAACGCTAGATGAAGTGTAATAATGAAAGGCGGGTCGTGCACCATGCGCGCTACGGACGGCGCAGGGCGGCTCATGAAATTCCCCTCCGTGCTCGGTCGGTGATTGCCGACTTAAGCCGTCGATCTGAAATTCGCGCCATTGCCGATCACATGTTTATGACGTCAGTTTCACGTGTTTGTTTTGCTTTTTCTCTGTTATTGTATTGAGTGAGGTTATACGATTGAATTTTCTGTGTGCATTGTGTTCAGTGCTACCGTGGTGATTTATGATCTAGTTTTATAACTATTTTCTCCCTCGTGGCATCCCTTAGTTTGCCAATCTAGTCATCTGTGATTTCCGGACTAAACGTGGTTGAATACCTCAGTTTAATTCGACTCCGAGCAATAAATTCAAGTGAGTACTTGAGCTGTTCCTACATCATTCGTTTGACCTCAACGATTCCTTTTCATAACTTGAGAAATTTTAATTATAGTTTAAGATAAGGTTTACATTTTCATGTAATTGTTGGAATGACCAAATCACGGATCTCGATGCCTTGTCCGAAAATCTCGGCTCTTACTCTGTTAAAAACCAAGGAGTGAAATTCGGTGCCGGAGTCTTAGTTTATAGCGTCCAAAAACCCCGAATGATATGAATGCAAGATGAAGGTGAAATTAGCACCATAAAAGCGCATGACACCATGCGCAAAGAGTAGATTCTACTCTGTAGAAGTTATAAGTCCTTCTGCAAGGAAAATAGACTCCACTTCGAATTCACAAGGCTCGCGGTTTATGGGAATTACATATCGATGGTGAAACTACCAGACCATTTGTGGTGTTTAGAAATCTCTGCTCCCATTTTATTTTTTGAAGGAGAGCAAATCAATATCATTTCTTGAAATATCTACTGAGTATTCCTCGCATGAAGAGGAAAAAACATGGAAGTTTTCAAGATATGACTTTGAGGAGTTTTCCAGTTGAGCGTATTTATGCTAAAAGGAACTATGTGTATGGGATTTGCATTTGACATAGTTCCTTTTAGCATAAATACGTCCATTTAATAAGTAAAGTATGACTCGAAGTCTACAAAATTGCAAACCGAGATACCTGGTATGGTAGTTTCACTGTCGATATACTTCGGCGTAGAATTTTACTCTGGAATTTCAACAGTTGGCCCTGTGAAACATAAATCTAGGTGGCGTTATGAGGACTAACCTTTCCTTGCACAAGCACTCTGGGTCGTATTCATAGTGATTTCTTAGTATTAATAGTAGCATTGTAAAATATCTGTCGATAATCATTTTCTGCTATTATTTTGGTGAATTCCCACAGTGTTTCTCTTCGACAGAAATGTACACTTTGTTCTATTTTCCCCTCAAGGTTCTTCTGTGCTCCATGATCTAACTTTGTTTTCTTATTCTCAGATTACAATGGCACAACGAAAGCAGCCTGAAAAATCTGAGGAATCTTCAGGTTTTGGGTTTGCAGCAATTCTAGGGGCAGCTGCACTTGGTGGTGCTGTGACGTACGGGCTCACTCAATTGCTCAGTGATAACTCTAGTGAGTACTTGAACATGTCAATCTATCTCTGGTTAAGAGAGCTGCCATACTTGAATGGGCAGAATTTATGTTATCTTTTCATTCTCTCTCGTCGTTGTCAAAATACATGTTAGAGTAACCTGAGTCTTCAGAGCTAGGACTCAAAATGTATGGAATTAGATAGCGGAATGATTCTGTAGAGTGTTAGTCACTGACATTGTTCTTTACTCAATATAAATCTGTGTTTGGCCAAGAACTTGAAAGATAATTTGTTTCCCATTCAGAAAGTTGGTTTATGTTATGGGATAGAATTTAGGGATTTTTACTATGATCAGACATTTATTGTCTATTGGAGACAAAAAATTATCTTTTATGTGCCGTCTAATAATCAGATGCTGGAGTGTTCAGTTTGGTATAGTTGTATAATTAAAGAGTGGAGAGAGAAATTTCTCATTTTACAACAACGATGATGCTCATTATTCTGCCATACTAAGATAAATTGCTCTACGGACATTCAAATGTTGACAAATCTCTCCTGATAAAGTTCATCTTCATGAGGAAAATTATGAATATTTGCTCTTGAAAGTCTCAGATGATACAGATCAAATTTTAAACATAATTGGAAGGAAAATTGGATCGCATTTAGCAAAAAGGAACTAGCGCAATTTCGGTGTTTCCAAAATCGTACAACTTCTTCTTCTCTTTTAAAAATACTTAATTTATGTACAGTGTTCAAATCTGAACAATTATTGTTCTTTAAAATTAACAATTTTTTGGTTGGAGGAAAAAACTATATGCTGTTCTGGTTGATTTTTAAGATAACTATGAAGAAGCAACATTTTTACAACACTGTTAGCACGCTGATTCCTTTTTGCTAAATGCGATCCAATTGAGGGGGACAAGTGCATACCTAAATTTCGTTGAAAATCTTTGTTTTATCAAAGTGAATCTGGCAACAGCCCAAGATTCCTCAAGAATTTTTCTGGAGCAAGATATTATTAAGGACTTAGTTTTATTTTATTTTATTTTTTAGCACACCCTCAACGCCAGCAAAATGCTGAAAGAAGTCGATTTGCTACCGAATATATTCCTAATGTAAAATTTCTGTTATGTATTTGTCTTTAAATACATTGAAAAAAGAAGCGAAGTTGTTAGCTTAGACCTGATGAGTTTTTTTTTTAAATTTTCACAGGTAGCGGAGGCGCCAGAGAAGCAGCCTACCAAAGGGCCAATGAACCATGCCAAAGGAGAGCTAGCAGTGAAAGACAAAGAACATTCCCTAGTGATTTCAGTTTTGGAACCGGTGAGGAAAAAATCAAATAAGTAATATCACTTTTTCTACAAATACGTGAGAGGAGGAGCCAGCTTTGTACTAATTTTAATTTTAGTCGTCCTGTATACTCCTGATTCTTATCTGCATCAGCTTTACCTGTACAGGTTTTATTTCGAACCAACCACATTTTCATCTCTTGCACGAAGGAATTTATCTCCATCGCCCTGTTTCAGTATTCCTAATTAAACTTTTATTTTATTGTGAAGGAGATGCCGCACGTATTAGCCTGAAGTTCCCAGAGATTTCTTTTAAAAAATGTGAAGAATTACTTAGAATTTTCAAACGAATTAGTAAAACAGTTCTTTTATAAAAATTAAATGTTTTTAGAAATACTGAAATAGCGCTGAAAAAATATGTTCTTCCATGCGCAAGATGAAGGTATGGAATGTGACTTTACTGCTCAAAAACTGAAAATTGAATCATTTGTCTCACTGCACTAATTTTAAAATTAAAAACTTGGCGTCTGGTTTGCTGTTTTCATTTTGTACAAATCCTTAAGATCAATTATCAAAAGTTCTGTTCCATGTTAATACTGGCAGACTCATTACATCTGTTGAAAATTTCACTCATATGCGTGTTTATATATTTTCAGATCAATCAGGAGGCAGAACAGATGATCCTGATTTGAAAACTGGTTAGTATAAAGTAATTTCCTCTAACATGTAATGCTTTTCATGATAATTCAACTGCTGTGTCTTGCAGGAGAGTATTTGTCACATATTGATGTGTCGCATTTTAGTATTTTCTCCGATGAGCTTCAAGGTTCTTGCCAAAATTTTCCTTGCGATTAACCATCAAGGAACAGTAAGGCTAGATAGAAGCGATTCAGGCAAATGGCAACTCAGTGTTTTTGGGACAGATTTTTGTTTTCTTTAATCGTTAAATGTGAAGTTAAATTTGAGCGTGTATTTTATACCTCTCTTTCTTCTTTCATGAGTTTTAAATGATATTTTAATTCTTCAAATTGCACTGAATGTTGGTGCACACCATATGTCATTTTGATTGTGCCTTGTGTCAGTTTGCTCATCAAGTACAATTTCCTCTCATTAAAAACTCCTAGAGGGCTTTGAAAAACCCACTAAAAAGTGTAGGCAAGTCTCTAAGTAACTTCAGGTGGAAGTCCTTGAAAATCTTGACAATTATCCATTGCATTCCTCAAGTTTTGCCTTATTTTGGCTACATTAACTTTTTCTTACTTAGTGCACTGTAAGAAATTCGAAAATATGATGGCTCTCTCAGTGTGCTGTTCAAAACTGTGAATAAAAACTCAAGCGCCATTTTTCCCTCAATGATGCTATTACGGGCACTATCTCCTTACAAAAAAAAAAAAAAAAAATCATTCGCAAATTTAAGGATTAAATTTTTTAAAATTCAAGATTTGAAAATTGAATTCTAAATATCTCCTAGTATTTGAAGATCAGTTTATTTCCCATGTTAGTTACCAATTTTCAATTTGTAGAAAGTCAATAGCTTGTCCAGAGATAGTGGAGTGACTTTCAGTGTCTGATGCAGATCTTTTATCTCTACTTGTGAGCACTGAAAAAAAAATTGTATTTTTTCTTCTCACTGTTGAACTCCCTATGCTAAGGGTACACCCAAATTTTAATATAAAATTTCAAATTTCCCTTGTTAGATTTTAAGGATGGGATTGTAACGTTCACATGCAGAGAGTTCCCTGCCCCTTACAGACCAGTGGCTTCCTCCTCACTCTTTACAAACATGATCAGTTTAAAATTACTTGAAATGATGCGGTGTAAATTTTAGAAAATAAAAGTCAGATTTATAATTCATGATTAACACCAAATTTCTATTTGTATTTCAGCTTGTGGCATATGCTGGAACAAGAGGCCTGAAATCATGATGTTACCATGCAACCATGTAAATCTTTGCAGAGATTGTTGGGAGCAATTCCGGGCTTCTCAAAATGGTAAAAACTGCATCACATGCAGAGGAGAGATTCGAAGAATTCAGCGTGTTTATGTGTAAGATATACTTCGCTTGTCACTTTTGTTTTTATCATTAAGGATTTTAAATAATGTGCATTGTTTTAATTTTTCACTGATATTGTTATTCGGGGCCAGTTTAGGCAATTTTGTACTGTGATTTCAAATGTAATATAAGTCGTAGGATCTTACTGTATTAATGGACTGATTTTTTCAACATGTGATATAAATGTTTACTGATCAGACCATTTAGTTTTTCAGGACACTTACTAAAGAATTCTTATGTCTTTTCATTGAAAGAGAGATTTAAAAGTACATTTATCAATTCTAATCATGAAAGTGGGTAATTACAAATTATTGCACTGATTATTCTCCAAATGACTTAAGTGCCACAAACACAAATTTGAGGGAAACGAGAAAAATTGTATCATTCCATTTGCTGGCAATTGTAGCAAAACAAAATATGTATGCTTCCGTAGGCAATAATTTAGAATTAAGGAATTAGCGTCGTTAAAAAAGATTTGCAATGGTAACCCCTTCACTGAAAAAATAAGATGTAGCTTTACCTCACTTGTAAAAAAAGCTATTCTAAATTGCCCATCTTCCTTTCAATGCGGCAGGCTTCAAATAATTTTAATCGTATTATAACTTAAAAATGCAACCTGAGTCTTCTGACTCTCAAAAGCATTGGTAATCCATTGAAATCTCATTTTTTTTAAATTCAGGCGCTCATCTTTTTGGAAAGAAAACTATCAAAATTGCCAGATTTCTTAGAATTAACAGCAGATTATGAATCATTTAAGCTGAATTATATCTTCATAATGCAATGATGTCATCCTTACCCGCATAGGCATTAATAATCCGTTAAAACTTCATTTTTGAAATTTTGGCCCTTGTGTCTTTTGGAAAATGATCGATTTAATTGAAGAATAGCAAAATAAAAGTCAATGTATGAACAGACTAAAATATATTTAAGTACCGGTCTAAATTATGCAGCCAGTTACCAATCTAGTACTTCAATTCTTTAGTCAAGTAAAAAATCACCATTTTCTTCCTACAGGTTTGCACATATTAGTTCATTCACTAGTTTTTAGCTGCATCGTTTCCTTTTTGCACATTTGCATATAATTTCTTAGGTTAGAAATCAGTATTATCTATCACATTGGATAAGATGATTTTCCTGGTTATTAGTTCACTACTTGTGTTACTATCGAATATTTTTACTAATATTATGTTGTAATGTTGCTCTATTGACTTAACTGTTGACCTCTTTTATAAATGTATTTTTAATTCATAGATTAGAATCAATGCATTGTAATTAATCAAAAATATTTTTATTTTTTTTTTTTATCTTAATTACAAATAATCCCCATTTAGTTTACCTGTAATCAATAGCAAACCAATTTTTCTTGTAATCGCATCATTCTTAGTTATTTCCCTAGTTGTGTGTAAGTTTTTAATTGGTGCCACTGTGTACTTTTCAGCTAATCAGAATGAGAATATTTTCAAATTGTATGGCTTTCGTAAGACAATATGGGTTGTTAACTAAAGTGCTACATCAGTTATTTTAAATAAATATCAATTTAACCTTTCACTCATTATTTTCTTACCTTTTTTTGTCAAACTCAGCTTTTTAATGTGTTCAAAGACAATCCAACCTCTGCAGTGTAAATTGAGATTATTGCAATTGAAGAAACTAGTGACCAGAGGTCTTTCATTGAAAAAAAGAGGGGAAAAAGTGTAAATAATTTTTGCAAACGACATAAGTAATGTCTGAAAAATGCACCTACCCAAAAATTCCACTTTGTTTTATCACGAGGATAGGAAAAAGTACAAAAATAAGTAACAGTGAAAACAACAATGGTTCTTGATCTCTTAACTATTCGGTGACCTAAAGTTAGTTCCTGTACCTACTCAAGAATTTTGTCACTCTTTGAAAAATGAGAAGTTAGCATTAAACCATACCTATCACAGGTAATGTTAAAAAATATCAACTAAATCGTCAATCTAACTGTTTCGGTACCAGCACTGGCGAATAAAAAAGGTGAACTCTTGCTAAGCGGATTCAAACGCCTTCATGCAACGGATGTCCTCATTGCATACACAAAAAAATGAAGGCATATCATTCCGCCGCAATCTTGCGAGACGCTTGACATATACTTATGTATGACATATCATATACCGCGTCTATGTCGGTGGTCGAAGTATGGAACCTCTCATCTTCATTAGCAACGTTGCAGTCATTCCTGTCATACATTAACTGCATTTTTTCTTTGGTAGGTAAATTAGTTGACTTAATTTTTTGCAAAAATGACAGCATTTTAAAGATTAATTTTGGCGGGAAGTTGCGGAGTTGAACGTAGGCTTATAATAAGTAATCATACCTCGCCATTACCTAAGATAAATCTAGTAGGAGTATGCAACCACGTGATATGTTTCCTTTATCATTTATTGTGATTTTTAAATTCTCTCAAGATGCTGGTTTCACCTCGAATTTTGGGAAGAAAACGGATTCATTAGGTACGCCTAGAAGCACACTTAGGGCTTTTTATCCCCGAAAAATCTTGTCCGTGAAACCTGAATTGAGGAATAGCTTCTTCAAGAGGAAGTATCTGAAATGTGTCTCTATGCGTGATTTATCCTATTTTTCGTAAAATTTAAAGTTATACACTCGTAATTTAGCTGACGTTGGATATCTCTATGTCATTTACTACCTGCCACCATCGGTTCACCTTATAAAGAAGAAAAAAACTGCAGGATAATCCTAAAAAAAACTTCTTTCAGCGTGGTTCGTCACTAAAAACCGTCATTAGTAAGAAAGTAGGTACCTCCTCCAACCACAACAACATCATAGCGGCTTTTCGGTGTCTTCTTTTCTGTAGAGAACGGAAGGCGACTTTGATGAAAAGTCACTGCCAAACGACCAGATCGGCCGACTGTTTTGGGGATCATTTCAGAACAGGGGGCAATAAAACATTTCAGGCACTAGAAACGACTGCTCACACTGGAGGAAAACCGGGAAGCACTCAAACTTGTTTTAGTCACAAAAAAGTATCTTGATGATTTTGGATCAGCGGAAAAGCTTCGTTCGACGTTTAAGCGTTTTTTGACAGCGATGCGAAACAAGACTGTTTGAATTTATCGGAGAGATATGAGAAATTTTAGCGGTTGTAATAAAGTGTCTACATTATTATCGGGAGATAACCAGAGGCAAAAGATCACCGCGTCCAATTAGGCACCATGATTAGATAAATGCTTGTGTCGATTGTCATTTCGAATCAGAAGCTGTTTCTATTGCTGGCTGAGCACGTACATAATAACTAATCAGTGCTCCCTAAGCAGCACGTTAATCTCTTCACTTGAAAATTTCTCACGCTCGGGTTTTTGTGCTATATGCTTTGTGCCTATCGAAAGTTTTGAAGGCAATCTAAAGGATGGAATGACGAAAAATGCTGTATGCTGTGTCTCACGCTCGTATTATATCACCTGGCACACAACCATTCGAACTCTATAGTGGGTATGTGTTGTGGTATCCTTCGAAAATGAAGGATAATCTCAGCTTTTTGCGCGTCTTAAATTATTGATGTTTATGAATGTATCATGATCGCATCCTTGTATGCGGAAACCAAGCGCGCAACTATTCGAACTCCAGAGTAGGTATGTGGTATCACACGAAAGAGAAGGATAATCTTAGCTTTTCGCCTCTTAATTTAAAATTATACACTGGTAAAAAAAACCTCTTGGTTCAAGAGTGCAGCTTCTTGTCGCCGGATTTAAAGAGTCTGGACTCTTGTTTCAATGCAAAATCCGCTTGAATCAATGCAAAATCCACTTGAAACAAGAGCTCAATACTCTTAAATCCGGCGACAAGAAACTGCACTCTTAAGTCAATGATGTAGTAGATTACCAGAAGTAAATTACTGGCGTGTACTAATATGAATATTATGCTTGCATCTTTAGCAAAATCGCAAAATCCTTAAAGTTTTATGTTTTTCAATCTCCCTGAAACAGTCGCGTAATGGCCACGATATTTAAGTCAAAATCGCGCAGTAATTTCCACGTGCCCAGCGCGCGAATGATGGACATGAACGCCGCGCGCCGCTAGTAATAGGTGCCTAAGAAGAAATGGACCGAGTTAAACAGAAAGGAACCAAGCCACATCAGCTATTGCCAAATTTAATTGAACAATTCAATTATTTACACGAAAACGGTAGTGCGGATTTTCGTGCAAATTTCAGTGAATTTTCTCCATAGTACAAAGCAAATTCCCTGTCATTTTCACAGAAATCCGCACAAACGTTCTTTCATAAAAAATTGAATTGCCCAGTTAATTTTGGCAACAGCTGATGTGGCTTGGTTCCTTTCTGTTAAACTCGGTCCAAATGATACTGGAGGGCCATCGAGTGATAAGCATTTCGCAACTTTTCAAAACCAGCGAATTCCTGAGAATAAATAAAAACCCATAATAGCAAATCAGCTGTTGTTTGCGCTGTTGGCGGGAAACGCTGAGGAGCGCGCGGTGTGCGTGGAACGCGCACAGGCGCCTACAAACCTAACAGGGATACTTCCCGCATTGCGCAATGCGTGAAGTATCCCGTTAGGTTTGTAGGCGCCTACGCGCATGTACCGCTCGTTGCCCGTAGGCCGCGGACGTGGAGTGCCACGTCGCTTCAAGCAACTATATCTCACGACAGAGGTGTTTTAAGAGATTCAAGGCGCTGCAACGTATCAAGAATGACAGACATCTTTTAAGAAAACGGAGCGATCCTCGCAAAATAAATCAAGATACTGCGGCACAAAAAGAGAGCGGTAGTCCAAAAAACTCACCAAGTCCTAGCATCCGTATTTAATAACGTTTGGACATTCGGAATCTCCGGCGAGTCTCGGGACCAGGCGCAATCGACTCTACGCCGCAAACTACGGAGGATTCGACTCTTTCCTCAAATTTGTTTTCCTCCTTCGAAAATCGGAGGCTCGGAGGACAAGACGCATGAGTGAAGTTTTTCCTGTTTCAAGAAATACGTGTTTAAAGTTTCAAAATTACATGGAGCCTTAGGTACGGCAGAGAGGAAGTCAAAACTCACTTTTTGATGCTTTCCAGTTAGATTTTAGCTGTGAATTGTTCATAAAGTATACGTTCAAACAAGTCTTAAGTAAGTTTATGAATATCTGAATATTTTCCAAAACTGCACTAATGCGCCTTGTTGTCCTCCAAGCCCCTTAAATGAGTTTTGTAAAAGTTCAAATTTTGATACGACGTTGTTTCCGAGCGCTGCAAAGCTCAATCTTTATTATGATTATTGATCAGGATAAGAAGGACGGCAGTCGATGTATACGTCTAAAAACTTCCATTTTTTGGATAACGTCAACATCAATGACCCAAGAGAGGTGCTGCAGTACCTTTGCACTCCAGAACACCAGAACGAGATACGCATTTCTGCACTTAAGCCCGAGGTACGCAAAAAAAGCTCCACGGTTTTAGGTGTCTTCCCGATTTTTTTCGATTATAGTCTCTTGCTGGCAGAAAGACGACATTTTCAACAACACGTTTATGCAGCTAACTCAAAACTGTCAAAAATTTAGATACGCACTTCTGCACTTTCACCATCGATATGTATTTTAGACCAAAAGAATTCGAATATGACGGTCTTGAAGCCCCACGGCCTCGCTAGTGGGGTAATTGACTAGCACTAGACGTGTAAAATTTAAAATTTTGGGGCCCTTTTGCATTATCAGTAAGGTCCCGAGGGACTTTCTAGTACTCTCAGGAGCATTAGGTGAAAGTTTTCAAGCAAAAGTTGACCTCATCTTGCCCTAAGGAGCTGTTGTCATCCATAAAAACTTATCTGCCGGAGGGAGCTAACGGCCCATAGGTCGTTTCTAAGATTACCAAAGAATATTGCTTCTTAATTGCAAAATTAGTCCAGTGGCATAGGTAGTTAAGCATTTTATGAGCGTTTAAACTTAATTGTTCCGCCGCCAGAAAAACGTCACTACTTTCATCCTCTCTTTGACGCCATGACCAAAAAAAATTATGACACTGTAGTCGTGTGGTCTGCGATCTTGAACTGGAAGCAGGCACCTTCGTGGGGGTTTTATTATTTTATTTTCAGAGCTTTAATTTTACCAAAGAAATGTAAAACAAAGCCCCAAAAGCAGAGCTTTCAACATTTTACAGATGTCAAACTCGAGTGCCGCGGCAGTAAATTCGTTTAAAAAAGTTGACGATAATGTTATTTGTCGTGGTTAGAAGTGTTCTCGTGATTTTAGGTGTTGTGTTGGCATGGGCGTCAGGGGCAGGTCTTGCAGGTGGACAGTATTTGGGGGCTCAAATTTGGAGAGTTTCCATGCAGAACGCCACTGATCAAGAGATATTCCAAGATTTTGAGAGAAAATTCCGTGAGTAATACCTCTATCTCTATGCCGACTAATGTTATAATTAATCCTACCAGCAGGCTGATTTTTATAGACAAAGCTATATGTACAAAGAGGAAATGGAGCGATCCTAGTAATGGTGGAACGGGTGGAAGTTCTGGTTACACGATAAAATCGAACCATCAAATTGACGCTCTGATTGGTGGAAAAAGTCCTGAAGTGAGGATGCGACCAATGAGAGGCCCAATTTGATGGTTCAATTTGATCGTGTAACCAGGCCTTTTCAGTAAAGGGGGTAAGTAATAGACTAACTGAGTGTTCCTGTAGTTAGTCCATAATTTCTCCCCTTAGTCTATAGCAACCATTCGTTTCAACCAGTAGGGTCGCTCCATTAACCCGTTGTCTTCTTTGTCTATTGTTTTGTCCATCATTTACAATAATCAATCTCCAATGGTCCCAAAAGCCCCTTAACCCCATCTCTCTAATGCTCCTCGGGTGGTTTAAACCCAACTTAACTTAACGGGGCTGTTCAGCCCAATGTCGTACAATTTGCTTCGATGTATGCCTCAATTTTTCCAGTTTCACGCCGTGCGTAGGAGGTGCTTGACTCGCTAAGTGTAACAGTCTAACTTCTTTAAAGTTTTGATGATTTGTCATGACGTCTTCATTGTTCGATAGCTATAACTGTGCTTGAAACCCAAAATGACCACCAAAAACTATGTTTACGTGCTAAGCAGTAGGTATCAGAGAAGCGTACCGATGACCATGCATTCAGCTTTCAGAGATTTCATAATTACCCAATACACCTTCACTGTCATCGTAAATTAATGGATCGCATTTAGCAAAGAGGAACCAGCGCGATTACAGTGTTGCTTTTTTATAATCATCCAAAAAATATCCCAGAACAGTATAGGGTTTTTGCTCGCCACCAAGAGATTGTTAATTTTAAAGGAAAATAATTTGTGTAAATTTGAATATTGTTAATATATTGCATTTTTTTAGAAAAAAGAGAAAGGAAAAAAGGAATTCTTAAAATAACCGATTTTTTAAGTGAAAATTTAATAGAATCCAGAATTTATCTTAAAATATATCCCACTTCCAAACCCAAGAATCGCCTTCATGTTCAAGTTATGATTTCCTTTCCACTTCTGACGTCTCACTGATGCCCAAAGCTGATTTAAAACTGATTTTACAGCTGTCGTCGAAACGGTTTATCAAGGGAGAAGCGTATTGGACCTCCTCGTGAGAAGATCAATATTGGAAAGTGCAAAGGAACACTTTGCATCCGTCAAGAAGGAGTATGAAGTTCTCGTCGATGATGTCGAGGAAAGGATAAAAAATGAGGACACTCCGATAACCGACGACGAAGTTTCTCCAAAACAAGGACGAGGTAGGTGGTAATTTCATTCTATCTGTAATAACAGGCTTTCGAAGGTAGGTTGAGGATTTTTATTTTCATATACACCCGTTCATTTAAAATCTTTTGATGAAAAAAAAAAAAAATCATGCGTATACCGAGTGATCTTAAAGTTCCTCAACACCTTTGTAACCCCTCTAGGGTTCTTGCCTCTTTTCGGGGTGATTCTATTCAAGTTTTTTTTTGAGGGGTAAGGGCAGAGACAAGAGACCCTTCACTGGCCACCTGGCGACAGGTGGAAGCTTTTACTTTTGGGGACTCAACAATTATTCCTTATGGACAATTATAAGGGAGCAACAGTCACCACTCTTATTTCGGCTGTTGACCTACCTACATGGAGGATGATGAGCTACGGATGACGTCATGAGCCAAACAAGTCCCCCAAATTTCGGCTTGTTTGCTAAACGAAACTGCCAACACGTTCTTAACCATCAACCATGAAGGTAGGTCAACAATAGAATGATGAAGTCCCGAAAGTAAAATCTTCCACCATTGCCAAGATACTAGTGGAGGGTCTCTTGACTCTAGGTAAGGGGACCAGAAATTTTTTTTTTTTTTTTTAATCTACACACTCAAAATTCAACGTGCCTTTACCGTTCCCCGAGTATTATCCAATTTTGAAATTATTATTTAAATATTACTGTCCAAATATAAAACGTATGTACCCTCGAACTGGATTATTTTACGATGATATTATTTAAGGCGCTTATGCTCCGTTAGAAAACTTAGAACGAAAGCCTGAAACTGATTGTGAGTGTGATTAGGTATAGGTACCTATAGACATATTCTCGCGGCACGTTCTTGCAACTTTCAGTGTTGGAATTCCCTGCTTGTCCTAACTTATTTCAGTTCTTTTTTCCCTTGTTTTCAACATTTATCCCAGGTTACAATTTCACTTATTCTCATTATCATCCGCTGAGTGACATTCACGACTACATGGACTTGTATCTCGCAGCCTCTCCTTCCACCAAAGTCAACAATTGGATACTTGGACGAAGTTTTGAGAAGAGAGATATAAAACTTCTGGAGATTGTAAACGATCTGAATGCACCGTATATTTGGATCGATGGAGGTATGACTTTTTGACCGCAAATAAAAAAGTTCAATATCGACACGCTAAAATTAAGAAAATACTGATTCAAATGTGACGCTATTACAGCTAGTCAGCTTCACTCTGTACCACCCGGCTAAACTCCCGTGTCATCTCAAAATTTCATCTCATAAATCTCTGGTCTTACCTTGTCTACAGAGCAACCACATTTTAACGTTTGCGGGCTGATTATTGAAATTGATAGACAAAACAAAAGCAAATTACACAAAGGGAAAACGGCTCCATTTCCATTCCATTTCATGCTCAATCCTATCGGTGGAAGCAAGAGCAAGTGGTTTCGATGGACAACGAAGGCGATGAATAGACTAACTAAAGAACTTACTAACTAACTAACGGCAAACCGTGAGAGATCCTGTAATTAATCCATCAGAAATAAAAATTCAGAAAAACGATGATTCTACCAAAGATGCGGAGAAGGCGTAGCTCCCTCAGGAGATGCTTTCGGGGGGAAAATGTATGGTGAAAGAATGCCTCACTTTTACTGACAGAGCTCGTTTCTGTGGTATGATCGTTTAACCCCAGGTATACCCTGCACAGAAAAAATAGATGGTGCTGACGACAGAACCTTCTGTTAACAGGGCTCTTGCAGATTCTTTGCCCTACTTACGGAATTTTTCTGTTATGAGAACAGAACTGCGGTCGTGGGAAAAGAGCACTCTGTCCTCATAACGGAAGTTTCTGTGACTGTTACAAAAGAAGTGCAGGAGCCCTGTGAACAGAAGTATTTATTCCAGTGTGTATGATCATCAAAATTAAATAAATGGAATTGTGACCCTACCTGAGATGAAAATGCCAGTTTCGTCCCTCCATTTCTGAAACTCTTATACTATTTATTTATTTATTTATTTATTTTTTAATTTCTTTTTTTCAAATTTTGAACAGGAATGCACGCTAGAGAATGGCTCTCTCCAACAACGGCTTTGTGGATCGCCAACCTGCTACTGAGGGAGAAGGAGCAGCTTCCAGAAGCGATGAAGAAACTGAACTACTACATCCTCCCAGTGATGAACCCCGACGGTTACGAATACAGTCGCAACGAGGACAGGATGTGGCGAAAAAACCGAAACTTGGCCGCGGGAAATCGTCGTCGCAGACAAGAACCATCTCTGCACGATTGCAAATTGGGCGTCGACCTCAATCGAAACTTTGATATCGAATGGGGCAGAAAAGAGGGAGCAAGCGACAATGCATGCGAATCGGACTATAAAGGACCCTTCGCCAATTCTGAGCTCGAAACTCAAGGGGTTGTTGGCTTCTTATCGGATAAAATCTCCAAAGTCAAGGTATGCAACGACCGTATTTTATAGTCGCTCCTTAATTTAGTTAGGAAACTATTGGGTACATTTTCTGAAATTGTACGTTTTCAACACCGTAAAATCATAAAGAATACTCGGTAAATATTGTTACATCAAATTACATATATTTGCTTTAATTATCCGAAGTGGTCTTGATGCAAAAAAAAAAAAAATCGACAACAATGTACCCAAAATCAAAATCTTGGCTGATCATAATTGCGAGAAATTGCGATTTGAAATTTTCATAGTAAATGCAGGTTTTCTACTGATTTTAATCCGTTGCTTTATTTATTTGTCCATTGAATCGGTGTTGATCGGTTCACATTTTTATTTTTCGTGCGATTCATGTCCATCAAATACATACCCTCCATGCAGACCACCTATCATAGTCTTTTTTTAACTGAACAATTTGCCCTCTGCTGCGTCTGCAACGATTGTTGTTATCAATATGTTGTGCGTGCTGATTTTAGCTCATGCATACTTGACTCCCTAAAGGAATTTTATGAGCGAAAGCAATTCGCCTTCAGCTACGTCTGCAGCAATTGTTGTTAGGAATATGTCGTGCGTGCTGATTTTAGATCATTACATACTTGACTCTCTGAAGGCGTTTTATGTGCGCAAGCAGCGCAATCTGTCTGAAAACAGAAGTGAGATTGAATGATTATAGCTCAGTCCCTACTTCGTTAGTTCTCCGACAGATGGCGCTGCTTGCTCACATAAAGCGCCTTCAGAAAGTCGAGTATGTATTGAGCTAAAATCAGCACGCACAACATATTCGTAACAACAATTGCTGAAGACGCAGCTGAAGGCGAATTGCTCAGTTAAAAAAAGAGTACGATAGGTGGTCTGCATGTGACGAGAGGGTATGTATTCGATCGACATGAATCAAACGGAAAATAAACACGTGAACCGATCAACGCGCCGATTTAATGGACAAAAATAAGAGAAGAGGTTTGAAGAGGCTTTTGATGTAGTATCATATCAGTGTCCATAGTCAAAAGGTACCTAACTCTTATTTTTGAAAGTATCGAGTCAGTGTCATTTTGGAAATCTCCATTAATGGTTCCGTGTGTGTGAAAAAATTGGTAGCCCTATCTCACGCCGGTTATGACATGCGGAATTTCAAAAATTGCGATTTACATTGGAATCCGTTGGACCGACACATGCTTTTTCCCCGATACCCCGGAATGACTAAAATGGAGTTAGATACCAATTTACTCTGGGTTACTGATAAAAAAAGAAGATTTTTACGAAGTTCCAAGTAAAATTCATCTGTACAACTTTGGAAATAAATGCAGATCTTCACAAGGGATTCCGGTGCTATTTCAACACAAATGGTACAAAATGTAAATGAAAAAATTCAATGGTCTCGAGCACTTTTAATGTGGGGACGGACCTTCCTCAATTTATTGGCAAAACCAACAATATAATTAATTTCGTATTTTTTTACCTAGTGACAAAGTACTGCAATTCCTTGTGTCGTCAAGTAGGAAGTTCTTAATTTGGATTTAGGAAATACGAGCCAATCAACAAAAAACACTCAACAAATGGTCATCCTTCGATCAGATCCGCTCTTTCCTCCTCTAAAAATGTTACTTAAAAACATTGGCAGCTACATCACTTTGAAATGCAGATACAGAAACATTTGTTTACAAGAATAAATTTTGCATCTTTCTAAATATCTTGATTGTAAGAAAACCTCATTACGATGTTGGTCAACTCCTTTTGCTTAACACTGCTTAATTTAAATCATATAATTTTTAGGCGTTCCTGACATTCCACACTTATGGTCAATATATTTTGTGTCCTTACGCTTACGCCAGAAATGCCCCACTGCTCGAAAATCAGCTGGAGCTCATTAAAATTGCTAGAACAGC